GGAGCAGTTTGGAATTGACTCCCATCAAAGATGAAAATACCATAGAATTATCTTATCTTCAAGTGGGTTAGCCATATTTGATACTTGGATCAGCAAGTCCTCTGATGTGAATGTGACCATTTTTGTGTAAATGAATTTCTGTTGTGTTTTTTTGGAAACATGCCATAAAAGTATTAACTATCTAATCTGCCAATGCATCCATCCAAACCTTAACAGGGTAAGACTGAAATGAAAATCAGCTGCAGTTAATCTTAATTTTCAAAGAAAAGTCCACGCCTCCAGGCCCCTGTTTAATCTTGTACACAGAATATCCTACAAATGGCACATCTTAGATGAAAGTAGAAGCAATTTTTCTAGGGCCATTACCAGTGAAATTAACAACACGCCCACAGTTGATAGATGCTGATAATTCTGGGTATCCAGATGTGTTTCCTATTACAGAAGTCATCATTGCCCAGAACTTTAATGGCTCTGGCCTTTGAAATCCTCCTCTACATACTACCAGACTCTGTGTACAGATGCCTATAAACATCAGTGTCAGTTCATCACATCATCTGGGAGATATTTCCCAGAAGTAAATACTTGGGTGGATGTTATATATGCTAAATCTTGTTCTAATTTATGGTTTCATTTAGTGGAATATAGTCATCATACCCAGAGTTTTGATCAGTTCCCATGCCCCCCCCCCCCCACACACACACACACATACACACACGCACACCTCAGTGAAAAGTGGTATTAGTGTCCTGACCAGCTTCTCCTGTAAAGGCAGGTGAATTTTTATGAGGAGAATCAGTGTGAAATTGTGAAAATAAATGAACATGTTACGTATGTCAGGTTTACCTACAATGTTAGATGTTCAGTTTTTTCTGTATAAAAGGCAAGATACAGGCCATACATGATGTGCAACCAAATAAAGTGGTAATCTTTTTTTTTTTTTTTTTTTTTTCATTTGCAGTTCAAAGATTTCTCCATTGAAAACAGAATAAGCATCGTCCACAGCACAGATAGTTCTGGTAATGTTAGTGAACTGACAGTGGGTCCTGCCAAGTACTACGACACTGGAGAGTATACCTGCCGCTACAAACTGTCTCCAGACAACAAGGACGAGTCTAAAGTTTATGTCTATGTCTCAGGTCAGCAGCATAGAAATAATGGCACTGGATTTGATAAATAAAACGTTCACCAGTTTGTTGAAATTGTTTCTTGCCAGAATGCATCAAATTTGGCTGAATCAATTAAGATAATCTGCAAAGCAAATGCTATTCGGAAGTCAGCTGAGAGGGATTTTTTTTTAAAGTTGGAAATGTGAATTTTTTATCGCTGTTAATTATACACTTCACTGTTACTTGGTTAGACTTCCTTACCTTAAATCTAAAATCATCATTGATTTGTGTTTATTTCAGATGAAATCAACATTTTGCTCCCCCATGAACTGCATCCAGACCCTGTAGCTCTTTTCTTGGTTCAGAACAGGCCCGGGATCATCCCGTGTAGGGTATCTAGCCCCAATGCTACGGTCATATTGAAAGACGGTGACAAAATTATTGGTCCCACTGAGGCAGTGACATATGATCCCAGAGAGGGCTTCAAAGTACTTTTTCCAAATGTGTTCTTTGCTTATAAACAACTTGTCTGTGAGGCTTCATATGCTGGCAATGGCCCAGATACCATGTCAGTTTTGACTTTCTACAGTGGTGAGTTTATGTTTTAGTGTAGTGACAATTGTATGCATTGGTATGTGCACAGGTTGTGTGTGCGTGCATGTGTGTGTGTGTGTGTGTGGTGACAAGTTTCTTCTTATTGTTTAAACTTTTATAAAGCTGCCATTGATTTGGTGATAACAACATAAAATGGATTCAAGATTTGAAGATAAAGTAAGATCTTAAGTTTTTCCTGTTGAGATTTATTTGTACTAGATGTTCAGTTTCTCCATGTTTTTTTTTATCAGAGGCACCCACCAACCCTCCTACCCCAGTAATCCAAAGCAACCAGACCCGCCACATGACTGGCAAAGACATCCAGCTTAGGTGTATAGTGCTGACATCTGTTGGCAGTACTGGAAACACCCTAGAATGGATCTATCCTAATATGGATGAGGTAGGTGGCCCAGTTTACATGCTGTATTGAGTTCTTAAATCCTGAATAGTGACTAGACAAAATTTAAAAGTTAATATAATTCATTTTTGAATTTGGTCAAACAAGTGACAAGCTTCTTGTCGCTGTGCTTGTCCTCTTTCAGTTGAATTGTAGCATTTTTGCTATTGTTTTTGCCCTTGTTGTTGATGTTTTTCTTCTTCTCCCTCTTCTTCTTCATCTTCATTTTCTTCTTCTTGTTGTTACTATATCAGCGTATATACTTTGTGAATTCAGAGATCCAGTCGGATAGCACAAGTATCAGAGCAGCATACAATAGAGAATGGAGCATTCCAGTACACCAGGCTAAGGAATAACTTGACAATCAGTAAAGCCATACCCACAGATGCTGGAGTCTACACATGTCGTGTCACCACATTGATTAACCAGCTGACTGCTGACGACACTATCAGCATAGATGTTTTTGGTAAAGCTTTATTTTTCTTTGAATCCCCTTTCTCTCCCTGCGTCTCTCTCTCCATCATTCATGAAAATAAAAATTGTATTTAAAAAATCTGAACTAGTATGCACACGCACACGCACACACACACACACACACGGAAGATAATGTGAGATTAAAGAAGTGCCATCAATGAAGGTGGAAATTTCATTAATAATGCAGTTGCAATCTTATTGATTCTTTGTTTGTACAGATGAAATGTATTGTACAGTTAGAGGGTCATGTGATGCAATTAATAAAAACACTTTTTAAAACTAATTGTCCAAAGCACATTTCATGCTTGAGAAACTTTTCAGTTCAACAGATTTCTTTGGTATTGTTTCTAGACTCCGCTTTTGCAAACCTTCGTCCAGAGAAATCAGTAGTAGAAGCAGACCTGAATCAGGATCTTGTATCCTTGAATGTAATAGTGGATGCTTACCCTCCACCACAGATATATTGGAAGAAAAATGGGCAAACGATTGGTAGACGTTTACCTAAGTATGAACCAAGGTAAGATTATTATTTATTTATATCATACCTTTGTAGTGTGTTAACTGTTTTATTTACATTTCACAGATAGTATTGATATTATGAGATTTTGAATTTGTTATTGAAAATGTGTATCTATCCAAGGGTTAAAAAAGCCTCTACTTTGTTGTATATAAAAATAAATTGCAAATCAAGAGTAAGACCTTATGATATGCCAAGAGATTGTTTTGTAGCTAATATTTTAACTTATTAAGCTTTTTATTGGCTTTTTACAATAACTAGGTAAGAAACCAAATACTGTTTTTATGGCAGTCATTTCTTATTTAATTGAGACTGTAATATCAGCTTGGTGGAAAAGGCTTGTCATTTGCTGCTTTAAAAAACCAACTGCTTCTTGTTGACAGGCAGAATGAAGATAAGGCCAGCCTTCTGATCTTTGGTGTAAGGAGAGAGGATGCTGGAGTCTATACGGCACATGCCCCAGTAGGTGGGGAAGAGGAGGCCACCTCTGTCACCCTGCAAGTTATAGGTAATATTTTTATTTTTATTAAATTGGTAAAATTATAGAGGATGAAAGACCTGAGTTTTAATTATAGATTAAACTACTGACTGTAACAGTTTAAAATTGTATGATAAGATAATAGAGAGTTGTAGTGTTTTTAGAAGTGCAAGTATCTACTTTACATTGTTTCTGATAAGTTACTCTTTATTTGTTTGTGTTAACTTTATCATTCAGAGACTCCAGAGACATCCATCTTGAAGCAGCACACAGAAACCTTCTACAAACCAGGGAAGGATTACATTCTGGAGTGTGCAGTACAGGGGTTCCCAGTGCCAGAGATCGTGTGGTGGTGGGCAGGGTGTAAGAGTTTGGGATGCCCAGAGACTGCTTATATGATAGCTAACAGCAGCAGAAACTACAGGGGAATAACCAAAGAATCACACAGGAGTTTCCTGTCCCTGAATGCTGTGGAGTCTGGAAAGTTTTCATGCAGAGCCAGTAACAAAAAAGGAACGAGTGAGAGCACTGAAATAGTTATTGTGTCAGGTTGGTGTTTTTCCCCCCATTCAGTGGTGGCTTAAATGGTTAGATGTTTATATCACTTGATGGTCTAAAATACTTGTCAGTACAAAGCATGAAATTTCTACATATTAGAAAGTTAATACTTTTGTATTGGCCACAATGAGGCGAAACATCTATGCTTAAATGATTTTATATCTGTTAAACAATGCATTCTAACTTTTTAACCACCACAAAAATGTGCACCCTGCACTTAGAATGAATAACTTCCGTGGAGTTAAAGTTTTAATTTGGAATTACAGATGCAGAGAATGGATTTGAAGTAGTCCGGAGTTCAGAAGTCCACATAGAGGGAGATATGCTTACTGTCAGTTGCCGTGCCGCCAAGTACTGGTATAGTGACCTAGCAGTGGAGCAGGAGAACGGGCATCCATTGTTGAGTGATGCTAGGAGAAGAGTTAGTAACTCAAGGTACAGCTTACATTATTGTCCATTTTAACCTGCATCCTGCTAACTGTGTGCCCTGAACTTTCAAAAAGATTTCTTTCATGCAGTTCTTTAGTTTGTAAGGGATTTTTGAGTGGACAGTTTGTGTAGTTTCTATTTTTATCTTTTTTTGGTGTAAAAAAAATTTATTGTACATTCTTATATTAGAGGTTTTCCAGCAGTTTGTGATAAATATGATAAACAAAATGTTGTTTTAAAAAAGCATCCTGTATTTTTTAACAGTTATTTAGAAGAGTCATTTAAATAAGAATTAAAGAAAGAGGCAAACAATATCTGTAAATTAATATGGAGATTAACGTTGTTAATCTGATTTAAATGCATCACACAACACCTGCTGCATAGTAAGTTGCACAAGACCTGGCAGTGCCACCTGCATCTAGTTGCGCGCATGTTTGACCATTGGATTCAATTTCAGCATCTTGAACAGTGCAGTGCCACTCACTTTCTGCTTATAGCTTAAAGAGGCAAACATAATCTGTAACTTTATACTATTTTTAGAGAATTATAATAAATGAAATTATTCTGAATTTTCAGCACCAAGTATTCCAATGAAATCACTGTTACTATAGATTCCCTCTCTCTGGATGATACTGGTGTCATAAAGTGTGTGGCCTTAAACAGCTCTCGTATCAGGCACACCGTGGATGCAGATATCATTGTACTAGGTAAGCATTACTTTTCTGTTTCTCTATTGTGTCTGGTATACACAGCCAGTGTAATATGATTTTCACTCCTATAATTGAATTTTGGAAATGGTAGTGTTGAAAGTGACCATCGGGTGTGTTAACTAAGAAATGTGACAGATGTATTTTGAAAAAAACTAGCACTGTAGAATATCACAACTGCGCTACAGAATATTTTAATTATTAATTAACAGTAAGAAAGAATGATAGTCACTTTTTGCACATTTGCTGAAAAATAGCTTTGTTGACAACAGAGGTCTCCAAATTTTTTTCACACTGAATTTTCTTTGTGTTATGTCCCTGTAGATTTGATCTTCTTGCTCCTCCTTCAGGTCTGAAGGCCCCTGTTTTCACCAATCCTCTGGCTGGTGTGAACACTGTGGAAGCCAGTGGTGTCTATAAGCTGGAGTGCAAGGCAAGCGGATTACCAATCCCTGTCATCACTTGGTTCAAAGATGGAAAAAACTTCAGCTCTGACCTAAAAAGACCCGGAGTGAAGTTTTCTAGTGAAAATACAAAGTAAGTTAATTTTGAATGAAAAGGGCAAAAACTTTGTTAAATTATGAAAATTTTGTAAGTAACTGCTACAAGTGCAGACTTGAAACTGATGTGACAGCTTGGTGGTTAGTTGTTGTCATATCACTCATAAGTGGTGATATAAGATAAAACCCAAAAGGTCGGCCCACCCTGTCCTATTTGACACTTGAGTTGTCAAATGCATGATGCAAGTGAACTGGGATTAATGATAATTATTACAGTAATTTCTAAAATAACTTTTTCACATGCTGCTCAGTGACGTTTAAGTCTGCAATATAAGGGCAAAAGAAAATTATCAACATTTCCTTTGCCATATCCTTTGTAAATTGCATCTCTGAAAAAGAAGTGATGTCTGTATATTATATTTCCACCTTGTCTGTTGCTCCAGAATTACCATAGAGAGAGTCAGTAGGCATGATGCTGGCTTGTATGAGTGCAGGGCAACCAATAGAGCTGGAAGTATCATCAGTAACCTGACACTCCAAGTGGAGGGTAAGCAAAATGAATACAAACAAAAAATTATTTTCATATTCCTTTTTGCCTAAAAATGAAACAGGGAGTAGACCTTTGAAAGTCATTGGTTGACATTAATCAAATGACACTGAAATCCCCTGGTGTGATATTATTTGTTTGTAAATGTTTTGAAATTAAGAAAAAAGGAATTTGCTTTTTTACTTCAGTAAGATAAATCATGAAAAAAACCTGTTCAATTTAAGTGTACCATCATGTACAATGTTTTCTATGGTATAGCCCTCTCTTGTTAACTTATATCTTTTCACATTTGTGTGGTGTTTTTTCACTATATCTCCAGACATATTATGTTCACTTCAATGTATGTCATTGATAACATAAGATATATTTAAAAATAACAAACCAGTGGGCATGGGTGTATGGTTATATAATGGTGAAATTTGGTGTCGGGTAGACAAATTTGCTTATTTTAAATTGTTGAATATATTCTGTTATTTAATTCCTTGTGTTAATCTGGTGTGCAGTATGCAACTTATGATTCCTTTCCTGTCACTTGATAATAGTGATATTATCCTCAGTTTAAGATACCTGACCCTACCCTTTATTGTCAGAGTTTAGGGTTTTTCTTTTTAATAAAAGGACAGTTAACATTGTACTTTTTCATTTAGTCTGTTTATCAGCAGTTTGGCTAATTATATTGGTTTCACAGAAATATTTGACTAATTGACATTTACTTATTTTGAACCATTATTAGTATCCCTTATAGTCACAGTAGTAATCACTTGGTGTTTTTATTTTTTCTGTTGACAATCGTGGCACCTGGGTTCACGGAAGCATTAATCTTAATGCACACATAACCAAAATAATATAACTAATAATTTATACATTTACTTCAGCTAAAATTATTTCTTTCTGCTCTAATCCAAAAACTAAAACCACAGGCTACGGAGTACCCAGGGTGTCCTGTCTTGTAGTGCATGCCTTTCTCCTTGGTCAACTAACCTTATTAGTTTTTCTTCCTCTTCTTTTCTCCCCTTCCAACTGACCTCTAGGCGACCCAATTCCAGATGGTATTATCAAAAGAGGCGGATTGTTGTCAGCCCAGCAGACAGGAATGATTGTGGGCATTGTTGCCGCTGTGTTGCTCCTGGTCATCATCATCCTGGTGATCTGTGTGATGAGGAGGAAGAAGAAACAGAGGAAGGAGCTACCACTGGTATACTGAAATTTTTACTGGTGTTCTTTATTCTTTTAATATACTTTATTCTTTTAATACAAACACAGGTCCAGAAGTGGGAGGGGGAGTCAGTTGCACCCCACCTCACTTTTCCTATACAGCAGGGTAGAAAAGGCATATTAAGTCTTACATTAGTGTGATTCATGTACTTGGTATTATAATATGCCTTAATTTGCACCATCTGTAAAATATTTTTTTGGGAATAGACATTAGGGAGCTGTTGATCTTGGATCTGGCAGAGGTCTGGTTGTGTGGTAAAATAAAGTTATGAATTCATCTTGAGAGAGAACACAAGCAGTACCAAGTTCGCCAATTAATTAAGTTCCCAGATAATTGTTGTTTGAAAAATTTTGAATAACTCACATGGCCTCAAAAACCAAATTAAGCTCTAGGTGTAAAGGTTTATTTTCCCTTATGGCAAATGGTTTACATATGTTTTTATATATGTGTTTTCAGTTGATGGACTATCTCCAAGATCAACCAAGACACGATTTTAATCCTGACATTCCGATAGATGAACAGACAGAGTGCCTGGCATATGACCCAAAGTGGGAATTCCCCAAAGAGAGGCTAAAGTTAGGTAGGATTTCTAGATCTATTAGCTGTTTTTTTTTTTTCTTCTTCTTTATTATTTGTTTATTCAATCATAATTAGGAATAATATTTCCTGTTTTTTCCTCGCAGCTTGAATATTTTTATGTGTATTTAAATTTTGTTAATAAATCTACTGAAACATTAAAACAGTAATTGCAAGACTGAAGCAGTATTTTAGGAGAAATGATATATGAGGTACCATTTCTATGTTTGGGTTGTTGAATGTTTTAGGAATGGTGATAGGTCAAGGTGCCTTTGGTCGAGTGGTCAAAGCAGAAGCCATGGGTATTAATGACACTGAGGGCCCCACACCAGTGGCCATTAAAATGGTCAAAGGTAGGGCATACAGTACATAACACAACGATTGGTGCTATTATCGATTAAGTTAGGCAATGTTGTCACATGTACCAATCTAAAACTTAGGACATATGATTTCTGTAAAAAGAAAGATTTAGTTTTGAAAGTTTATAATTGGATTGGCTGTCATGTTTTTCAGTAAATATGAAATTGTAGACTTTTGCAAGATAAGTTTGATTACAAATCATTTAGCATCCGGACATTTTGATTTGTGTACATTTGATGCTGTGTATTCCAGATTGTTATGACTCCTCCCAGATCAAATCTCTGATATCAGAACTGAAGGTGATGATCCACCTGGGCCACCATCTTAATATACTGAATGTCCTGGGGGCTGTCACCAAGAATATTAGACAAGGTAAATAATGAATGTATAACCTGTGTGCGTGTGTGTGTGTGTGTGTGTGTGTGTGTGCATACGCACATGTTGCATGTGGTGTTGTCATTTTTGTTAATAATTTTTGAAAATATGATTGTGCAGTTTTATTAAACTTAATTTTCCTCTTTCCAGGAGAATTTTACGTCATTATGGAGTTTTGCACTTTTGGCAACCTGCGCTCATATTTGATACAGAATAGGTCCCGTTTCGTAGACACCATGAACCAATTAACACTGGCCAATGAGGGCTACTTAGAACCGGTCAGTATAACTGGCCCATCATCTACGGGATCAGCACAAAACACGCTGACAGGGATCAATTCAAGGGACAGTGTAAGAGGAGGAGCTTCATTGACAGATCCAGGTGCTGCCTCTGTGACAGCCATTACAGAGACTACAGGGGGAACTGTGGCAGCAGAAAATTATTCAAATATGAAAAAAGAAGCTGCAGCAGACGGAGAAGACAGTGCGCAAAGCATTAAGAAGGAACCTATTCTAACTTCTAAGGATTTAGTTTGTTTTGCTTTTCAAATTGCCAGAGGGATGGATTATTTGCACTCTAAAAAGGTAAGGTGGTGGATAAATGACTCATGCTAGCTAAAAAGAATGTAAGAATCTAATCCTAGAGGAAAATGAAAATTCATCAGGTGTCATTGTTAGTTGTTGCTTAAAGGGATAATAACTCTTCGTATGAGATCTATATTTCACAATAAAAACATTGTGAATAACTCATAGAAATATAACATTTTCTGTTTTACGACAAAAATAGCAGTTATAGCTATTATTCTGATATCTGAGCTTGTCTTCAGATCACNGTGTTTATTTTAAGTTTATAGTTTATGATGGATGACCATCACAGCATTACATGTAGAATATGGTGTATTGTGGTTAAGAATGATACAGTTAACTAGAATATTGTGTTAACATGCAAAAAAAAAAAGAAACAATTCTCTTTGAAATGCCATGAAAGTTCTGTTTAATGAGTATTTATTTATCTTTTAGGCACCAGAACCAATAAAATGGCTTGCCTTAGAATCTTTACTTGACAAAATCTTCACTCCTAAAAGTGATGTGTAAGTAAAATATGTTTTTGTTCATATGTATCGCATGATCCTTTCATTATATATTGGAAAATATTACAGTAACTATTATTTATTCTAGTACATGCTTGCTATTCCATCATGTTTTTAAAACAAGCAGTAAATGATTTGAATGTCTTTTGCAGATGGTCATTTGGGGTGCTGTTATGGGAAATCTTTACCATGGGAAGCACTCCGTACCCTGGCCTCGAGTTAAATGAAACTTTTGTAGATAAGTTAAAAGCAGGTTACAGAATGCAGAGGCCGCCTAAAGCATCTGCTGAAATGTGAGTACTTAGGAGACCCCCATCTTTGTAAATGTTAAGTGATGCGATGGGCAGGACTGTTTTTATCCACTGAACTTTGGAGATTTCAGTATCTCCAAAACAAGATAATAGGGTAGGAAAGATGCACAAATTTTCAAATGTGCAAATATAGGAAAGTCAAATATACAGCGTAAGGTAAGAAAATGAAAATCAGCTGTCATTGTACGTGATAGATACAATATGAGTCGCCAAGCTGTACCTGAAATATTACGAGTGTATCGGCGAGCCGCAGGCGAGACAATACACGAGTAATTTTCACGTACAGCTCGGCGACGAGTGTTGTATCTGGCTTAAACCACGGCCTCTGATTGGCTACTACACTAGTAATGCAACAGACCGTGGAACACACTCGTACATGACGTGCTTGTATGTCGAATACAGCACGGCCGAGTCTTTTGTTCTACGCGCTAGCCGTGGTTTAATTATAGTTATTTCAACAAACAAAAATTAAAGGTCCCAGTCTAATTGCATGTAGTTTGTATTTTTTAATTTTATTTAGTTTTCATATAATATTGTTTTGTAGACACTCATTAATAATGAACCTATTTCTATTTCTGTGTCTAGTTACGAGTGGATGTTGGACTGTTGGCATCCTGAGGCGGAGGAAAGACCGTCTGCTGCTGAGTTAGCTGAAAGATTTGGAGATCTGTTACAGCATGATACGAAGCAGGTAAGACTATATATTGTGGTAAATCTCCACAGTGGGTTGGGGGGAGGGTTGGGTCCACCCTACCATTTCTCGTGGCTGAATGAATCAGAATGAGACATTCAAACTGATATGATGTAAACTGGAAATAGTCTGACTGACATCACTGTAGGAATAGATCAAATTAAGTTTTCATTGTTCTTAAAGATGTCTAACCCATTTGTAAAATACAGTGTCCTATTTTACAAAACCTTCATTTGTTAACTTATTACTCCTCATGACTAAAGTTTTTTTTTTCACCACCACCTCTTTGTTTCACAAACTAAGGGTAAAAAAGAGGAAAGACATCGTATCAACAAGTTTTGATTTAAGATGTGCTTGTGATACTATTTTGTCTGATAAGGTCAGATTATTTTCAGTTGAAGTCTAAAAGTAACTACTAGTTGATCTAAACTTAAATTTCAAACGGTGTACTCTTTTATGATCTAGGATAATTCTGTAGTAGTTAACTAAAATCTAAAACATTAACCTTAAAAAATAAACCTAGTATTTTCTATTCACTTGGCTACTACAGATTTAGTCCAGAGTTGAAGTACACTACAGCTATCAATCATTAAGTTAAGGGTGTTTTTAGACTTCAGTTCTTTTTATCACAGAATGCACTTGTTGGGGTCAAGCATGAGATGCATGCTGCCTTGTGCTCTTTTGTTGATTTATTTTGTACTTGTGTATTTTAAATATGCATCTTGTCTTTCTTTTTATTTCAAAGTTTTGAGTAATGGCTTTAAATTGTATGTGCATCTTGATGGTGACTTTTGTCCTTTGAATCTTTTACATGTACAGTCTGAGTATATTAATGGCATACATGAGCATTTTTACCCTTTGTTTTGTACTCCTCCCAAATGCTGCCTAAGGAAAAAATGCAAAAAGTTGTTGGTCTCTTAACTCATTAATATTTTACAAAATTATGTGCAAATTATTCTGAATTATTTTTATATTTGCAAATTATGTTGAATTTTCATCAACAGATGCATTATAAATTTAGAAAAATCACAGTATTGTGAGGAGTCTATTCCCCCTGAACAAAACAACTGAATTCCCCACTGAGTAATATAGCATATTGTGTACTGTGTTGTTATGTGGAATGAGATGTGGTTCAGAACAGTGTATTTATACGGCTTGCATTTTACACTTGAACAGCATTGATCTGAAACATCTTATACTTTGATAATAAACACCAAGTAATTATTTTTCCAAAATTAGGCCTAGCTACAAAAAATACAGTACATCTTTTTTGGCTTCTTAAAAAATGCTGCTTATAAGAATTAAAAAGAAATCCCCAGGGGAAAATTTTGTTGAGTGTGTATATACAGACTTATTTGGACAAAACTTGTTCTCTTCCATCTTAAAGCCAGACACCTTTGTGCCAAGATACACCATATATTTGGACAATACCAATCAATATGTAAAATGTTGACAAAGTGAGTATTCAAAAATCAATCCTCCAATATTAGTGGACTGCAGAGCCATAGAGTAGTGGTCACTGGTCAGTTGACTGAAGCATGCTGATACAGTTAGCCTTTCCCAGAATCCTCCAATGTATATTACCTACAATGCTCAAGTGTATACTGTTTGCTGAAATGTTCCACTTTCTGCATTTGTTCATATTTGATGATAATGCACACTTTTTATCCATATGTAAGTAGTTCGTAGACATTCTGCATGTGTCAGTATTAGTGTTGTTATGGATTTCATGTTGTACAACCTGCATGTTGGCACACCTTAGTTGATCATGTACATTTTGTTTTAAGATGAGATTTGTTTGAGCCCACTGTTGGTTTATGTATGTTTTAATTCTTGTGTGACTGGCTCTTAAATGTCCACAAAGCTAGTTAAGATTCTCCCTTAAACCAGCAATTAATCTGACCTTGAGTGATTGATATTGGTGAGTTGTTGATCAGAAGTGCAGGGTTATTTTGAGTTAAACAACAAATATCTTTACAATGGGACATATGCCAACTGTCATTTTTGAGGAGCCTTTAATATGAACAAATGAAAATATGTATATATATAAAAGTACCCACATTCTTTTAAAACAAAAAATTTAATTTTTTCAAACAGCTTGCATATTATACATTATGGAAAAATCTTTCAGCAGCCATAGATTTCTTTGTCTTTGTCCAGCATGTTAAAACCATGACACTACTTTAGGGCTCTGCCTCCATGATAGAGGAGACAATACTAACACATCTACTCACTACATGATTGCTGTTTGTCTAATTCCAAATTAACAACTCGGCATACACACCTCTTGTCTCTCTAACGCTATTGAAACTGTGTGTCTGTGGTTTTTTTAATAACACTGTGGCAAATTAATATCTCTGAGGTTGTTTGGGTTCTGTGACAGATAGAAAGCATGACTAACATCCTCATTTGAAACAACAACTCATTTCATCTTCTTTTCCTCCTACATTTTATTTAATGAAGTTGAACTTATTTTAATATAGACTGGGTTAACTAACAATTGAATGATTGGAATTCTAGCAGTATTCTGATGGCATTTCTTTTAAGCCAGTCACATTTTTCGTGTCTCACATAAAAGAGTCCCCTCCTATCAAACTTTCCATGTCTTCTGACAGCTTCGGTATTATAATGCAGTCTGCCCCCCTCCCTCACTCTCACTCTCTCTCTCACTCTCTGTTCTTTTGATTGTGTGTGTTGCATTCTTTTGAAAAATAACAAGTTGACTCTGTCTTTTGGGGACCAAATGGATGTATGCACTGACTGGAACATTTCTTGCTTAAAATGTATTTCAACCTTTGTTGATGTGTTTCATCATTCTTGCATGGCATTGTATTTGTATGCACATATCAATGTTTGAAATATATATTTAAAAAGCTGATGTTTATTTGAATTGGTACTTGCATGTGGAAAGAAAACATAGGTGCTCTACTAACCTTTTCAGTCTTTGTTTAAATAACATTGTCAGGCAAGAAAATTATGTCACTTGCACCAACATGTAATTCGCATGCCTGAGTGGAAGGAAATTTAAAGTCTGTGCAATAGCTTACAGATGTGAATGTTAAATTTTCCCATGTAACATATTGCATGGAGTGAGTAGATAACATAGGTATTCTCTTCTTTCATTGCCTAGCTCCCAGAGAGACTGCAGGTACAGCAGTTAGTTTTGTTTGTGTTTTATTTTTCCCCTAATTTTTAGATATAATATAGACCTCTATTTCTTATTTTTGGAGAATTTTTGAAACTGGAATGCCAGTTTTGAAAATGAAGCCATTTAATATCAGCAAAGCATTATCATTTTTTTTTCATTTCATTTTTCTCAGCTATATGCATGTACATTTTATTTCAAAGATGGCATCCTTTAAGCCTAATATATAAATAATTAGTGATGATAAAGGTTTAAAAATAAGTTACTTTGATTGATATTTATGCACAAGATTGTCATCAAAATCCAGTCTGTCATCCTTGGACAGCTGTGATCAAGCATGATCCACAAATGTTGGAAAGGACAGGAAAAATGACTATAATATGTTAACTTTTGCGAGTTACTTGTCAACTAGGGTTGTGGCAACATGAAGCTATAATAGGAAATGGGCCAATTTCAATTGATACAATGGACCAAGGGTCACAGTATTTAATCTGTGGTTATTTTATAAAAGCAGCTCAAAGTACCAAGCTATTACAGATTCTTTTGTTTGCGTGGCTTACATCATCCTCTCAGTGAAGTTGCTCTTTTATTTTTCTCATAAACAACATTAAATTTCCTCATCCAATGTTTCAGTATTACCTGGACCTAAACAACTCCTATGCAGCAGCCAATGACCCCTACTTGAAGATGAATACCAATGGCTACCTGAGCATGCAGGTAGACAGCGACAATCCCAAGTGTAAAGAACTTGCAGATGATGAGGAAAACCAGGTGTCAATGGGTTCAGACGGTAACCACTATGTGGACAATGTACGGTGGAAGAAGCCAACTTCCAAGGCCAAGGACGCAAAAGATGCCTCAGAGATGGAGCCACTTACAGCAGCCTCTGAATCCCCTCCTAGGGATAGCCAATTAAAGGACTTGAAGGAAGATCTTATGTATGAGAACAGTGGTAAGGGTTCAGCGGCAGTGGACGTACATCAACAACAGAGCCCTGATGTAGAAGAACATCCACTTATCTCACGGAAATCTAAAACCAAACCTGCACCTCCTCCCAAACCACCAGGCCTGTCTCCCAAATCCTCCCCTAGAACCTCACCAGAAAAAGAAGTTCACAAACCACAACCAAGGCCAAGGTCTTCATCACCATGGTTACCAAGGTCTGGCAGCAGTAGTCCTAGTGGTAGTAGTAGAAATATATCGTCTCCCACTGGAGATAGGTCCCCATTGGTATCTAGGCAACCAGAGAGAGAGATATCTCCTCCACCCAAAGATTATGTCAGTATATTCAAGAACAGGGAGAAGGGGTCAGGAGGGTCAAATGCCTCCAGTGGCTTCCATGAGGACATTGATTCTGATATTCCCCTGGAGAGGGCGCCGCGACCACCATCACAAGAACCAGAATTTTCAAATGGCTTGAATGAATCAGTGGCATAGTTGGTCTTTGCATTCAGAGTTTCAATTTTGTACTGCCTATGACAGTAACTGGAATCTGTTCCCATTAATTGAAAGGTCACTATGAATAAATGAATTTGGTAGTTAATTAGAAATATTTTGTCATAACAGATGGCAATTTCAGGCATATTCCCCAAATCCAATTGAAAGTGTAGACCTTCTCCATTTTACATTTATTTCTCCTGTTCAAACAAATAGAGGCCAAAACAGTGTTTATAAAACATTTATCAAAAAGTTTTCTTGTATGTGGGTACTGCTTAAGTTTGGTGCTTACATGTCATCTTTGTATTGTGTCCTTGTAAATGTTTGATATTCAATGTGTTCTGTTTGTATTTACATCAAACCCTCATACAGGGTTTAGTACATAAACTGGTATTTCTTCTAGATTCTGATAAGGTACAGGTAATATGCAGATAAAATATGTGAGAGTTCGACGTACTGCCATGCTTCATCTGCTATGTTTATCATTTCATCATATAAATAATCATGTTATTTACATTATTTTCTACATTCATATTGTACATGTAATTATAGGAATTAAAAGTGGCTTTGGTCATCTTCGACAGACAAAGGTGTCTGTGTCTTGTAAACAGATATTTATGTAACATTATTGTGTCTTACTGAGCTGTTGAGGTTTAAAGACCATATAATGGGGTTGTAAAAGGTAACCAGGGCTTAATCTCTCAATGCATTTAGACACTTTCTTTCAAATTATGGTCAACTCCTTCTTAAATTTAATGAATTTGAGGTACAAACAACCATTAAGGTCAGCACAACTTGTGTATAGAAATATGTTCAGAGTTTCTTTTGCTCAAAATAGCTCACTTTCTATTCAGTTTCATTAAGACAGGTTTGATTAATTATGTGTGCATTGTGAGTTTGATGTCTGTTAGAAATCCACTTGCTGTGTATGCTAGGCTATGCATTTTTGTTATAGTGGAGGGTGTTGCACTTTCACTTCAATTTACAGAAATGTTGAAGCTACTTATACCTCTTCATTTTGTGATGGGATATTTTTCTTACAAATAAGCTTGTTTAAAGTAGTGGATAACGTTTATTTTGAACAAAATTGTTTTTCAGTTCCTAAAAGTATACTTTGGCTTTTTACCGACATCGTATTGAACTTTTTCGATCAAGGAGACATAAAGAGTCATTACAGTATATTATTGTGTTGTTGCTCATGGCCAGTTTGTTTGTTTATTATAACATGAATTACCCAAAAATAAAATAAAAGCTGAATTATAATAGAAAAAAAAAACACTGTAACATATCGACTTGTGAAGTGAGATAGTTTGATTTTACTTGTTGATTTTCTGATTTGGACTTTGTGTTTTTACAAGGTGGCAAACGATCTTTTCACATGGATTGGATGAAAAAATATTGTAATGATTTGTTGCTACAGAAAATACTTGTTAGGTGCAGCATATTTTAAAAATTAGCTATGGTGCATTTTTTTTTTCAGATATGAAATTTTGATAAGAAGGTTAAGTACCCTACTTTTACTTTTGTATAAGAAAAATATGGGGTATTACTCAATCTATTACACACAAGGCTGTAAATGTAGATTTTGAACTGTTACCTGTAATTGTGCTTTGTCACAAGTTATTTTTATATGTAAAATGTGTAATGTACATTGACATTTATTTACATGTAGATGTTTTACTAAATATGTTGCTTTTATGAGATGTAGGTTTGTTTTATACACTTGTGTCATGTCATTAAAAGAAAAATAAACATTTTATTGAAAATGAAATAAATCTTTGTTATCAGTGAACAAAGCAGAGATTTGAAGTCCATAGTTTTCTTAAGCTTTTCGTTTGTCTGCACAAAGTTATGTCATTTAACGTATCAAAAAAGTAAAAAAAGAAAGATGGAAGGTGCTTATATTGGCTCGATCAATCGGATGCTATCAAGTCATAAATTGTTACCTGGGAAACCGTGTCACAAAAGTTCTTGTTTTAGTTTCTGCACTGTCATTGTAACGTCTTTTTGACCTACCGGGTAAGCCTACCGCGGAAAGAAGTTATACCGCGGCCTTATCGTGAGATAGCACAAAAATACCTAATTCTTATCTACGTTTTCTGATAGTACTACACTGCTAATGCATGAAAGATATGGTTGTAAATGACTGAAAAATTGCGCGTTAAAATGCAATGTACTATGAAAATAGGTTACGTGTCAATTTGACACAAGTCCAGGCCGTCTAGCAGATCTGAGACACCGAAAATCCCTTGTTAAAATAGTAGGCCCGCAGGGAAGAAAAAAATTAGCTGACATGAAAGTATTCAGTCTGACTGGGGATTACGGGGAGAGTCGGAGGGCAATTTTCATTTGATATTTGTTGGATGTCTAATGCCCTTATTTCACACAGACCACGAATCCTACGAATGGCCATGAATTGACAAATTTCAGGATTCGTGGTTGAATCGTAATCAGTTCGTGAAGTTCTTAACAGATTCGTATATATTCGTAGTCAGTTCTTGCACTTCTTGACCAACAGGAATTAGTGGCAAAAACTTTGATGCCCCTATTTCACACAGACCACGAATCCCACGAATCGCCAGGAATTGAAAATTTNTTAGTGGCAAAAACTTTGATGCCCCTATTTCACACAGACCACGAATCCCACGAATCGCCAGGAATTGAAAATTTCAGGATTCGTGGTTGAATCGTAATCAGTTCGTGAAGTTCTTGATCAATCGGGAATTCGTGGCAAAAATTTTGAGCTGTTCAAAATTTTGGCCACAAACTCCTGATTCCAAAAAAATGTTGTCAATTTCTGGCGATTCGTGGGATTCGTGGTCTGTGTGAAATACACATCGGGAAAGCTGCCTTGAGGTGAGAAGTAAGCGCAGAAAAGGTTTGAAATAAAGAAGATTCTGCAATGACAAAAAAAAAAGAAAAAAAAACTAATAAAAGACATAACCCTTGCACCCCTCATGGATATAACAATATCTCATTTTTTATTGTTATTATATTATGGGTTTTCTAATTGTTCAATGCGTGTGATTTTGCTCTCATGTATTCTTTCGTCGGGTTCCGTGAACTCCGTGCTCTTTTGGTATTAAGTTTGAGTGGATTGCTGACGCCATGGTATTTCGTTGGGGCTTGCAGGGGACAACATGCATGCAGCCAGCTTATGAAATGCAATGAAATATGCTATAATAGAGTTCGTATAATCTGTGATATTAACTACCTGAGGAACATACATATTTGTAACACCAAATATTAATTATCTACTGAAATCCAATTTTTGCAAATTAAATAAAGACTTTGTGAAGTATATGGATTTGTGAGCACGTACTCAGTACCTTAGACACAACACGAAAGGTTTTGCACAAGTTTTTGATTTTTGGGAAAAGTCCCTTTAGATGTACAAGAATGTAGGTGCCTATTTTCGGTTTAGTTATCAGGGAGTATAATATATGCAAAGGTGCATGGTCTCCTGCCCGAAAAACAAAGTTCACTTTATCACTTGCCGCCGATAACCTACTTTTTTTCACCAACATTTACCAGTTACCAAGCTCCGTTACAGTAAAAATGCCTGTGAAAGCAAAGAAATGGATTTTGGCGCACCAGTTCGATGGAGTGCCCAAAGATTCTGATCTGGAGCTTGTCGAGGAGGAACTGCCAGAGCTTCAAGATGGACGTAAGTTGACAGCATTTTAAGTTCCACAGTTTTAACCTGGCCCCATGGCAAATTTTGTCCCTGAGCTCTATTGTCAGGACAAGATAAGAGTCAGACAGACGTTCTCTATATGAGCTATGTTTGGCAAATGTAAAATATGATATATATATATATATAACAGTGTGAGATACAACGGACTCAGCATTGCCGGAAATGCAAAATGACGCGCAGAAAAAAGTCGCAAACTCTAACACTTTTAAAATCTTAAAACCTTAAAGTCGAAATCTTTAAGTATTCAACATGGGCCACCAAATGCTATCCGGTCTTTTTCAGAGATCCTGATGGAGGCTGAGGCCCTCAGTGTGGACCCATATATGAGGTAAAGTTCTATTCTTGGTAACAACCGTGTTGCATTTCCAGGCCGGTTCTACAAGGGGCGGTAGTGTCCTTTTCATAAGTGTCCTTTTCATAAGTGTCCTTTTCAAAATGCACATTACGAGCCTACTTGTTTCTTCTTCAAAATGCTCGAAGCCCAACTCTTTCGAAATGTAAATGTAAACGTCTGTGTCCGGTACTGAAAAAGTAAAATTAGGCAGGCATAATGACAGCATCAGGGGGTGGGGGTTCTCGGATAGCGTCAACATATAACCTTGGACATAATAACGTTCGTAATTAATTTTGTCCATGATATAACTGAGCTTGGTTAGTGCTGTGGTAATGTTGTCCTTCTGCATTTCATTTTTATTTGTTTATTTCACTTTACCCGGCAAGAAAGCCCGAGAAAAATTTCGAATTTTGAGAGATGAGGCCAACGATAAGCAATATATTCATTTCAAAAACTCACTTGATTTCTGCAAATTAAAATATGGTGGTACGGTCGTACTACTAATACTTTGGAAAGTAGACATACCCCTTTACTTGCATAATCCAGACAAATGTTTGTATTTTATTAAAGAAGTATAAAATTAATTACACAATTTTCAGTCGATTAACACGTTCATTTCTCCGGAGCAGGTGGAATGCAGTACATTTTTTTCTTTTCTTTTTTCGTGCAGGGCCTTTGCGTCGAGATCATTGAAAGAAGGCGAGTGCATGATGGGTACACAGGTTGGGAAGTGAGTCCATAATGTGGTTATTCACTGGTTTAACATATCAAACAATTAAAGGTCTACATAGATATTCTGTTCTCTAAACTTTAAATATAGGTACTGTATATGGTACACAACAATGCAGTCTTTTTATTTTATTATCTGTCACAGCAAAATTGAGAGGAATTAATAAATCTTTAATTTTCCAAACATTTCATACTGGAGTGGATTCGGGGACTTTCTTCTCATTCAGCCGAAGAACCAATCAGAAAGATTATCGTGTTTATTATAGAGTGGTAGAGAGTAAGGATCCACAGTATCCGGTAGGGACGACAATCGTTGCAAATGTTGGATGGCGGACACATGCTATCCTGAGAGCGGACCAGGAAAGGCAAGGGGTCGGTGGTATGCCAACAGTTATGCCAGCTACTCCAGCCCCCGGTCTCCCAGTGTCAGTTAACCTGGGTGTCCTCGGCATGCCTGGGTGAGACTTTTATCTTACACCCCATTCTCATAGATTAGATCGACCTACATTGGATCGACCTAACTCCCTGGGGGTTCACGCTAAATAGCTGTCAGCCGGGCGGACACGAAAGTTAATTACCCCTTAAAGCTTGTAGTAGGCGGGGACGGACACTTAAGGGGGATTATCTGACAGTAATCTAGTGAGACTCCCCGCGGTGATAGATCGATCTAAAAGTTGTGAGAACAGAGCCATAGACACACATACACATTTTGAATAGTTATCTTTTTATTTATTTGCTTCTTTTTGTGAGTTTGTTCTTTTGTAGGATGGATCAATGAAAGAAATCCTTTCACTGTTTTAAGATAAAACATATTTTGGCGTTTCTGTCTCATGATGTCAATCCCCATGACCACCAGCCCGTGTGTTTCCATATACATGTATGAGTTATCTCCGGTGATGTCTGCTAAAAAAATAATGCAACAATTCCTTTGTTTCCAGTGCCACAGCATACTTTGGTTTACTTGAGCTCTGTCAGCCCAAGGCGGGGGAGGTAGTGGTGGTCAGTGCAGCCGCAGGGGCAGTGGGCAGTTTGGTCGGACAGATAGCCAAAATTAAGGTGAGGGGGTCAAAATGATGTGACAAGCTGTCGTATTTAATTAAGCAGGTCACAATAATGTGATAATTTCTCTAAACGTTGACTAAGCAACAA